TTGACCTCCTATCCACAATTGACCCCGCATAATCAGCATCAGTATAGGCTTCAAGTTTCACATTACCATTCCTTTTGAATAGAATCCCTTTTCCTGGAGTTCCTTTAAGGTACTGTAAAATTCAGTGGGCAGCTTGTAAATGGGTCTCCTTTGGGCTATGCATAAATTGGCTAATTAAACTCACCGCATAGGCAATATCCGGCCTGGTATGTGACAAATATATAAGTCTGCCCACTAATCTTTGGTACATATCTTTTTCAACAAGCAACATCTTCTTCTACATTTCCAAGCTTTAGGTTTGGTTCTAATGGGGTACTAGCAGGTTTGCAAGCTGCCTTGCCGCTTCCTTGAGCAAATCGGTGATGTATTTCTGCTGAGATATAAATATCCCTTTCTCGAGTGGGCAACTTCAATTCCCAAAAAATATTTTAGTTTTCCCAAAGTCTTGATCTCAAATTCCTTGCCTAAGCATTGACTCAATAATTGTTTCTCTTCTTTATTATCTCCAAGTTAATATTATGTCATCCACATACACCAATAATATTGTTACTCCCCCGACTTGGAATGTTTAAAAAACAAAGTATGGTCCCCTTGGCTTTGTTTGTAACCCGGACTTGTCATAACTTTAGTAAACCCGCCAAACCATGCACGGGGACTTGTTTTAACCCATATAATGCCTTTTTCAACTTGCAAACAAGTGTTGGTAGCAACATCTTTACCATATCCCGAGGTATCTCCATATAGATTTCTTCTTCAAGGTCTCCATGTAGGAAAGCATTCTTAACATCAAATTGTTCCAAGTTCCAACCATAATTGGCAACAAGGGACAATATCACCCTAACCGTGTTCATTTTGGCAACCGGAGCAAAGGTCTCCAAATAATCAACTCCATAGGTTTGGGTGAACCCTTTGGCAACTAGTCTTGCCTTATATCTCTCAATTGATCCATCAGCCTTGTATTTCACTCGTATAGACCCATTTACATCCAACTGGCCTCTTTCCTATTGGTAAGGTGACTAACTCCCAAGTGTTGTTTTTCTCCAATGCCTCCATCTCTTCATCCATGGCTTGCCTCCATTTTCTCGTCGACAATGCCTCGAGATAGGGTATTAGGTAGAAGGACAGGTGTTTAGGTTTACTAGGAAGGTTTTATGGGTAGGAGAGAAATTTTTAAAGGACAGGTAATTTGAGAGAGGGTAGAGTGGCTGTTTGGTGCATTTTCTTGTTCCTTTTCTAATGGCAATTGGGAGGTCGGGATCATTTTGGGTTTCAATTTCAACCCGCATGACTGGAGAAAAAATTGTTACCTCTTTTTGTGGAGTCGAGTTGGATTCTTGAACATGGCTTGATCCTGGAATGGCCTTAGTCTTCCTTGAGTACACCAGACTTCTTACCAAATTTTCCAGCTTCAACATCTTCTTGATCAGCCTTCACAATTAATTTCACTTTCTTGACCAACTTCCTTTGCTTGACCAATTCCTTGACTTGTTTCATTTGTTACAACTTCAATTTGATCTTCAATTTGATCTTGTTTAGGTTCAAATATCAAGTCCGGAAGAATGGGAAAACCAGAATTACTACTTTCAATATGATTTCGTTTAGGTTCAAATGTCAAGTCTGGAAGAATGGAAAAACAGAATCACTACTTTCCTTATCTTCCCCGAAACTCTCCCCTTGAAGATAAGGTTGATGGAAATAGCCCTCTTGTTCATTGAAGGTAACATCCCTAGACACAAAGAATTTTTTGGATGGGGGGTGGTAGCATTTATACCCTTTTTGAGTGGGTGAGTAACCAACAAAGACACACTTTAAGGCTCTAGGATCAAGTTTTCCCCTGTCTCGTACTATGAATATGGACATATGAGATGCACCCAAAAACTTTTGGTTTAAGATTATTTGTAGTAGACAAGTTTGGATAGAAAGACGACAAAACTTCCATAGGGTTTTTGATCCTAAGACTCTAGAGGGTAGTCTATTGATAAGGTATGTTGTTGTAAGGACAGCTTCCCCCCAGAAATTTTTTGGGACACTTTTTTGGAACAACAATGCCCGAGTCTGATTTAATAGATGTCCATTTTTCCTCTCTGCGACCCCATTCTGTTGTGGTGTTTTGACACAAGAGGACTCATGAATTATACCTTCTTTTTGACAAAAAGAATTAAGGACATGATTGAAGTAATCTTTGGCATTATCTCGACCTAAGCCTCTTAATATTAACACCAAACCGATTTTTTATCATGGAGTGGAAGTTTAGGAAGACAGTAACCGACTTCCGATTTTTGTTTAAGTAGGAAAACCCAAGTGACCCTTGTACAGTCATCTATAAAGGTGACAAACCATCGAGTACCAGACACATTTGGAATATTAGAAGGTCCCCATACATCAGTATGAACAAGATAAAAAGGGAAATTGCTAATTTTATTACTTATTGGAAAAGATATACGTTTGTGCTTAGCAAGTTCACACACCTCACAATGAAGACTCTCAACATCTAACTTGGTAAACAGAGAGGGAAATATAATTTTGATCACTCCAAAAGAGGGATGTCCCAACCGACAATGATAAAGCATGATTTTTTCTCTGTTGGTCATCAAGGATTCAGATATGAAGGAGTGAGAGATTCTATTCTTGCTGGGAAGACTTGGATCTTTGAGATAATAAAGGTCATTCCATTCTCTAGCATGTCCAATCATCCTCCCCGAATCCTTATCCTGAAATACACAATGATCGTTGGAAAAAACAACTTTACATGACAAATCATTTATAAGTTTTTGTATAGACACTAGGTTTGTGGACAACTTTGGGACATGGAGAACGTCTTTTAAGGTTATTAAAGGATTGATTTGTATATTTCCTTGACCAGCTGCAGTTATAAGGGTTCCATCTGCTGTGGCAATATTCTTGTTGCTGGGACATGGGGAATATGTGGAGAAGTGTTTGGCTAATGGTGTCATGTGATCTGTGGCTCCAGCAGTCCAATATCCAATAATGGTTAAAAGGCGTATCCGAGACATTTAATCCAAAAGGTGGAAACTTACCCGAGTATGCCAAAGAACACATACCCGTAGGTTTTTCCAGACTTACTAAGAATGGTTTTCACCCTTTCTATCTCCTCTTCCTCGACATTATAGCAAAAAGGTGCGATGCAACAACAATGCGAGGTTGTCGTCTTAGGATTAAGAAAAATACAAGCGAGCAATGTAGGTTGCCGTCTTAGGGTTAAGAAAAATGCAGCAGCAATGCGAGGTCGTCGTCTTAGGGTTACAAAATATGCAAGCAGCAATGCGAGTCGCCGTCTTAGGGTTTATCGAGCGTGACAGAGCTTCCTATCGTAAGCTCGATACCATGTTAAGGTTCCAACATAAAACCAATTGGCAATATGTGGAGTAGCTCTAACATGTATTTAAACCATACCAAATTATATGAGGTAGGCGATGTGGGACTTTCAACACACCCCTCCAACGAAGCTCACGGACCAAGCAAAGGGTACTTTTGACCCAACTAAAGGGCAACTTTTGGCCCATGACAATAACCGGAAAGATGTTAGGCTTTGGCTCTGATACCATGTGAGAAAAATAGATTAACTGAAATATGTTTTTTTATTATATCAATACAAAGAGATGATATAAGATATATACAAGAGACCTAAACTATTTTAGAAAATATAATAACTCTATTTTATGTTAGGATCCCTTGATTTATGGGATTGTTCCTAATTATTCAAATCTGTACAGATTACAAGGAAATATACAAATTTCCTTATTTATTTTTTCCTAAAATACTATTTGATTTCTCACACTTAGTTCTATTTATAACTTACTTAATATAACCACCTAAAATCTGTTACCCCATGTTCTTATGTGCAGAGATAACTGTTTTCTTCAATTTCGATCCCAGAAATCAAATATTTGAACTTTATGATGCCTCTAATCTCCTTCAATCTTATCTTGACACTCGATAATTCAATATTATCAATTTTTTACTCCCAACATGGTCATCGAATTTCTTCTATCCACTTTTCGATTCATATATTAATTTTTTCCCACCAACAAAAGTACATATCAAAATTTATGTGACTGTAAAAATCATATAGGAATTAACCATCATGTCATAAACCCCTTAATTATAAAGATTTATGCTTAAAACGATTTTAATGTCCAAAAAAATTATCGTCAACGTTCCAATTTATGTAGATAACTACAATATCTAGGCAAACGCAGATACATGTATTACATTACCTCTTGGTTCTACTTACAATCGTTGAATAGAGAATATAAAACCTAACAAAGCGAACATATACAGAAAAGCAACACGTATATTTGGGGTGGCATGGTGAACTCAAACAGCGAACGTAATCTCAAAAAGTAATACGAAAGTCCATAAATGAAAGTATAATGGTCAGTTGTTAAAAAGGAAGTGACTGCTTAAATTGTAGCAAAAAATGTGACATACATATTGAATTTTCATCAATACTTGTTTATTATTCTGCAATTAAGGTCTAAAAGATATTGAAAATGAGATCTTTAAAGGATATGGTATTACATCACGGCAACTACACCCACCGGAAAGTGTTTGGCCTCAGCCTAAATTATTTAGAGCGTGACCATGACGCGCCTTTGTAAGTAAAGTGAAGAAAAGACCTTCTCAGCCCTACAAAATTACTAGTCTGGCATGCCATTGTTGATTGCATTATAGGTCACAAGCGAACATACACTAGTATTTGCAACCTCCTTTAAGCATCTTACCGTAAAATTAATATTAAAAAAAAATAAAAAAATCTGAGGTTTCCTGATGACAAAACAATGAATGTGGAGGTGTGAATGATATTACTCGGAGACTAAGCTAGAGACGCATAGGCAGGCAGCTGCAAATGTACGATATTTCATGATTCCCTAATCGCCTTCAGTTCCCACTCCTTCCCTCTCCCCAACTTTTTTCCCTCTTACAATGGGAAAATTAAAATATTATAGGAGAAGTTCTTCTAATACCAAAGTCGAAGATCAATTTCCATTTTGCCTACTAATATACGCTTCCAATTTCCCTGTTGCGGCCAATATGAGACCTACGTGCAGTATCATTAAATGTTTAATAGACATGAGTTATTTGTAATAAGAAAAGCGAATAAAGTTTTTGGAACTACTACTCAACACAGATAGTGAAAACGACTCGGACATTCATTATATGGTCCACAAGATATGAAAGGGAATAAGTGAGTTGCCCGTACCTAAAAACAAAGCAGATGGTCTCACTGGCCGTGATTTGAATTCTGGATGAAATTGCACACCTACATAGAATGGATGACTTGGAAGCTCTAAGATCTGCACAATAGAGAAAATTTCTCAAAATCCAGAAAATACAGGCAGTGTCCATGCAGAAAAAAAGTTGTGAAAGTGAATTCTGTATGACATCAAAAAAATATAGGAAAACAAAAACAGGACAACTGGGATCATCAACCTTTGTTCGAGGTTTATTCCTTCACATCAACATTACCCAAGCTAAAAACTTACCTCCATTCGTTTTCCGCTTTCATCCTTCCCAACAAACTGTAGTCCAGCTTCTTCTAAAGTTCCAATGACATCTGGATTTACCTGCATAATGTTGATGTCAAATAACAGAACATGTACCACATCTCACCATCCCCCAAAACTGATCACACAGCCAACCAAAAAAAGTTTCACAGCCAAACCTCATATCTGTGCCTATGTCGTTCATCCACATATTCTGAATTACCGTACCTAGCAATTAGGAACAAGAGAAAATGAGGGGACGCATTAGAAGTGTATAAAACAAATAATAGTCCTTCAGGAATTTGCTGTAAATTCTTTTTTCTTGTTGGGGCCAGGATACTGTAGGTTTGGACAATAGGCTATGCAATAGGAGCTACCCCTTCCCTGGAATCCCTTCATTTAGAGGTAGAACTGTAGCTATTGGATCCCAGAGCGCTTAGAAATTAGGAATAGCAAAGAAATTTCAGAAGCAGTCCTAATTTTCATTGAAATTAAACCATCCCTGATGATCAAGCACTTCAGTACTTGAATAATCATCAGACCTCATTATTAACATGTTTCCTTCGGACTAACCCAGACACTAGTAGACTGATATTTAATAATAGTCCGACACCTCTCTTAACCGGGGGGGGGGGGACAGGGAGATGAGCTATTTCACTACAGGGATATTTAGCCTGCTTTTTCTTTATTATTTCATCCATCATTAAAATACTACCTAGTAGGATAGCTAGCTCACATACAGCTTGGAAGTAATACAATCAGATGTCTGTAAGAGCGTTCTTCGAGATCCAAGTCTCATGGTACTTCCCATATGCGTTCGTGAACCCTGTTCATTACAAAAGAACCATCACAAACAAACAAAAAAGTAGAATAGGGAAAGGGGCGGAGATCAGACGCATACATACCTCTGGCATGAAAATCACAACAGGATTTGGTGTTTGGGCATCAAACTCTACACTGTTTGCTCTTTCCCAACCCAAAACCTTTGAATAAATGTTGAATTACAATATTAAAAACATGTAGTTACAAGAACCAAACATCACAAACAGAAATGCTACTTACTGATCTTGCAAACTCAATTACAGAAATTTGCATTCCTAGGCAAATCCCCAGGTAAGGAACACTGTTCTCCCTAGCATATTTGGCAGCAAGCATCATACCTCTAACACCTCGATCTCCAAATCCCCCAGGAACCAAGATACAAGCTGCGCTCTGCAAGTGTCAATTTTAAAAAAATGGCCGTTGTTACAGACTCCAAAGCAATACATATTCCCTTGAATCCACTAAGATGATCCAACAGTTCCACTATCATACCAAACACTGAAAATGTGTCATTATTTTTCCCCAACTAAAAAAGCCTAAATCGAGCAGGATTACATTATCTTAAAACTTGAGGTCTTAGCATTTGTCCACCATATGCTCCAGATCTAATAGACTAAATTTTCATAAAGTGTTCTCCTGGTGCATTTACCTTCAAAGTCTTCCAGGCTGCAGCATGTGCTTCTGGTGTCTGAGTAAAACCAAAAAAAAAAAAAAAAAAAATTAGGCCTGACATCCTTCAAAGCGACAACTAACCTAATTTCTTCAGATTCAATTCGGAAGAATCATTACTGATTTTGCACTCTCATCTTCTAGGTCAGATGCTGCAATCCAGTCAATTGAAGGCTTCAAAGAGCGTGCAACACAAGCATGCAGAAGGGCCTGTAATAATCAGTCATTATCAAATATTATTACACAAAAAAACAGATATAAAATAATTCAGAGCATTTAAATGGCATAGCCCTTGTATTGACTTGTCAAAAAACAACTGGCAAAAACAAAATTTACTTGTTAAATGAAAAAGCTACCATGCTGCAATGGAAGTGGGTTAATGCTCCAAAATTATTGTTTACAGTTTACATTATATAAAACACAAAGCATGCTAGTTACTACCAAAAGGAAATAGCAGTTTTAAGGATTTATTAAGAATATGAAATTTAGATGATTTAGGGCATTAGATTTATTGAAAAAATCAGACTTAAGACAAAAAAAGCAAGAACTTTAAATGCTATTATCAAGTTGCGCATAGATGATAGATTCCTCATTTTTAAAACCAAGTTAACATCTACATAGTAAATATACTAGTCTTATACTCAATTTTTCAATAAAATGTACTGTCATCCTGCTACTCTTGAGATAAACTTTAAATAAAACTTATAACACACCTTCACTACAGATAAATAAGAATCTGTTAGACCAACATACTTTCCCACCATTGCAATCCTCACCTGTATATTTCAAGTGGTCATGCTCATGAACAATATATTATAATAAATTTGGATAAAGCATTGCAAATGAAACATATAATACTAACAGATTCAGTAAGACTATCATAGGTCTCAGCCATCTCTGTCCACTGCTGTAAATCAGGAGGTGTCGCTTGGCTGAAAAAGAATTTTATGTGTAGCAGATTAGTCTTTCCTATTATCACTATAATTTTCAAAAAAATATATCAAGCACGCCTAAGTATGATCAACTATAGACTGATGAATATATTCTGCCACACTACACTTATGACGGAGGAGGCCAGAGGGGTCATTTAAGCATAAATAGATTATAGTGCACCGTTCACGCAACTAAAGTGCAGTTAATAGCAATTACTGTTGTTGACACTTCATGTTATTCTAGTAGAATTACTTTATCAAGGGTTTTGACTTTGAAGGCTGCAGAAGAAATAGGACTCATATCATCCCAAACAAAGTTTGAAGACTGTAACAGATTCAATTGATCAAATTACATAATAACTTAAAGTTTTCTTCTAATTTTCTTAAATCAAGGAGTCATCTACTTTCTCAAAAAAAAAAAAGCCACCTGAGTAAGTTAAGCTGCTGCAGAATTGAATGGTGAGCATTTTGGTTCTGAAAATAGCAGCCAATCATAAAAGAGTACACAAGATATAAACAAAATCCAAGCTTTTAAACAACCAAAAATTTATTAAAGACCCACTCTCAGTAACAGGGGAATATGCCAAATGTTTGGTACATCATGGATGTTCAGAATATTCTCAATCTGTGATAAACCATACAGAAAAATATAGATCAATTAAATGATGAAACAAACTTTTTCAGACAACTGAGCATGGTTCACCAACTTACTGGAACATGGCAAAATTTTGAAAGTTTTTCCTTGGTACTTTCTAGAAGAGGCTGCCATATTCAAGAACAAAGTATTTCAGCTGCTAACATAGCCAGACTAAAGACAACAGGAAAAGTCAAAACAGAAGGATACGTTTCAAAATCACTGAATTTCCAGTTGATTTTACCACAGTCAAAAACATTGCTATTATCAGATTGTTTATCAAATATTATTACTAGGGAACTAGGTAAAGCTGATTTTTCTGACTTGTACCCACACACATTTACTGCACAATCCCAACTTTATAGGTAAAATGGACTTCTATTATGATGAGTATCACGACAGATATTAATCAATTACCAGATGCAAAATAATGATAATAATTATATTTGTTTCTCACAGTGGAACCTGAATTTTGTAACTAAAGCTCATGTCAATAATCCCCTTGGCTTAAAGAAAGGAAAAATAGTATAGTGTGCAACTGGGCATGCTAAGATTAAGTGAGCAAGAAAGATCTATGTACTGCTACTCCCAAAAGACTCTGGAGCAAACCTTACAACATAAATTAAATTTTTTAAAATGCATTCTCGTGCAAAAATGGCAGAACAATATACCTCAGCAGAGCGACTTGTTAAAAGATGAGGTGTCAATCCCAATGCTCGCAGTTCCCTGACACTGTGTTGTGTAGGCTTTGTTTTCTGGAAGCAGAACATTGCACTCAAAATGAGAAAAATAAAAACAAATCAAGTTAAACTAAGTCTGCAGCAGTAATGCACAAGTATTTAAGTAGTACTTGCTCTCCCACTACACCCAACACTGGTATCAGGCTAACATGGATGAGACAGAAGTTATCAGGCCCTGAGAAGGAATCATGAGAATAAAAACATAAAAATTGTATTATAATTATTATGTATCAAGATAAAATTTCATTTCCATTCAAAAAAAGAAAAACATGAACAGAAAATGTCAACCAAAGAAAACATTTCATTGCCATACTTGGATTGATACATACTGTGCAAGAAACAACCTAGAAGATCTGTATTACATTTTTGTAGTTTCACAAGTATCTTGCCTTCGATATAAGGGGTGACTAGGACAATTTTCAAAAATATTTAAAAGGGATTCCTAGTCAAACATGAGGGAGATTAACAGAAATCCAATACTACAACTAAATAATTTTGACAACAAATTGTGGCTGCAAAGGGGAAATAACTGTTGTTAGCAGTATACAAGAAAAGAGAGGGAAAAGCTATGTTGTCTACCGTTAGTTTAAAAGTAAAATATTCCATTGCCATACCTACTTGAAAGGACAATTGCCGTAGAGCCTCAATAAATGGCATAGATTCAATATCACCTGTAGAAAGACAAATATATTTCCATATTACTGATCGAAGCGGATAGTGCAGCTTCAACAGAGGTATCATTCCGGAGCAAAAATCTTACCCACAGTCCCTCCCAGCTCAATCACACAAACATCTGCAGGGCCCTCTTTTCCGTCCACGGGAATCACAGCAACCGACTCAATCCAATCTTTAATAGCATCAGTGATGTGCGGAACCACCTATTTTAAAATACCAAGGGCTCAGCAAACTGGTCTGTATTATCCACAGTCCCACACAAGTAAAACAAATAGGTAGCAACAAGAGGTAAATGGCATACGTGCGGTGCATCACCTGAACAGTTTTCCCTAGATAATCTCCTTTACGTTCCTTCTCAAGAACAGACTAGTCACAAGAAAGGAACCCAAACGCAATAGTTAAGCCACGAAACCAAGATCACTATCCAGCACACTGTAACTTAGTTCCATAACCATTACAGAGGTAAAGCACTGCAAAAAGCAAGCATGTACCTGGTATATTTTTCCAGTGGTGATGTTGTTATCCTTGGTAAGCGTGACATCGAGGAAGCGCTCGTAATTTCCCAAATCCAAATCAACCTTCCCCCGAGTCAAAACACAACACATTAAAAATGAAATTCAGCAGCAGCTCGGACGTTGAAATTAAAGCATGCAGAGGTAAAATAAACAGGGGAAGAAAGGAGAAATAAAAAACCTCTCCACCGTCGTCGAGAACAAAAACCTCTCCGTGCTCGAAGGGAGACATGGTGCCAGCGTCGATGTTCAAGTACGGATCTGCATGGAAGCAGTTGAAAGGCGAGAATTAGCAGAGGAGCGGTTACGAGAAATGGAGTAAGAGAAAAGAAATTGAGGGAAAGAGAGAACCGATTTTGATGGAAGTGACGCGAAGGCCACAGGCCTTGAGGACGACGCCGATGCTGCTGGCAGTGACACCTTTGCCAAGGCCACTGACGACTCCGCCGCTGATGAGAACATACTTCATTTTGGTTTTGGGGAAATGAGAGAAGTTGGTAGGCCAAGTGTTTGGGTTTATACCCGAGCGGGAAGGAAGGTTGAGACGGTTATGGAATGGAATAGAATGGTTAGTGCAGTGAGTAAAAGAATAGGATGGCGAAACTGACGGTCCCTTTCAAAATGGCATTTAAAAAACCTAAAAGGAAAAAAGGCGTCTCAACTCAAGTCTCGTCTCCACCTCTTCCACCTTGGACTTACAGCCGCCTATCGCCCACAACTGTCCAACTTGCTGCTTTTGCGCATAACAGATGTTGGTCTTCGTTATTTAAACTAATAAAAGTATTATTAAAAATATAAATAAATTGTTTTCATTTTTTTCGAAAACGTGTTACCTCTCTCTATACACGTCATCAAGACCCTAATTTTAAGAATCAAGTGGACTTAAATCCTTCTTTCTTTTCAAAACAAAAATAAACTTGCACTTGTAACTAAATTCTAAACAGCTAAATCTGGTTACAACACTAGTCAACCAGGTCAATTTTAGTTGAGTTGATAGGATCTTTAAAGTCATATTCATATTCTCACATGAAGTAGCGAGGTAGCAAGTTATTCTCCTAAAGGGATAGAAAGGAAGAAAGAATCACTTGTTTGCTTTCACGAGGCCGTGCAATTATGCAATTCCGAACGAATCAAACCAAATACTTTTTCAGCGATTATTCGCCAACCTTTTGTTATTTTTTTCCCACAATGATTTTTAGTGAAGATATTCCCTTTTAGTGAATATATATATACTGCTTTTCTCCCACCAGCTGAAAAAGTCCTTTATTTGTCATCTTTTTCTTTCTTTATTTTGCTCTTCAAGAGAATCATATTCAATACGTGGTCTCCCCCTAGGGCATTTTCCCACTCTTTTCAAATTTCAGTCTCGGATTAATTTTGATGAGGTAGTTCTTCTCCTGAGATGAGTTATCCAATTTACCATATTACATATTTGATTAAGATAGTTTATTAACAGATAAATTAAATTTGATCTTAGCATGACCAAGTTTTATTAAATGTTATAATTTTGCAGATAATGTATAAAAATGTATATGAAATTACTTAAAAAAAATTATGTTCTTGTTTAAAAATCGTAGTTATCTATATTTTGAATTTGCATTTTCTTTTTTAGTCTATTCATCTTCTATTCCATTTCATTTTTGTTAACGTGAAAATATGTACTAAATACTTAAATTGGTAAACTTCAAAATAACTCGAAGAGGATTAATTGGAAAAATAATAATAAATAAATCATGTATAAATTTGAAAAACTAAATAAAAAAATTAGATAGGTTAAGCTTTTGACTTGGTTTTTTCTAAGAAGATGGCAAATTTTAATATTTTGGTTTTCTTCATAAGTAAAATCTAATTTCAAATATTTAAATAGTTTATGCTCCTTTTTTTATTGAAGCAAGTGCTTATCATTTAATATTTTTTAAATTTTTATTTTTTTCTTTTGCAATTTAAATTCATTCTCATTTGATTTTTTTTATACTAAAAAGCGTTTATAAATAATTTCCAACGATTTATTTATACTGTCTAATCTATCCCTATAATTATAACACTTATATATCTATTTAAAAATGAAAAAATATGTATTATGGATAGAAATTATATTTTAACCTACTTTCTTATAATTTCAATTCCGGTAAGGAATTGTGATCTTCTTGATTTAAAGAGTCAGATGCGAGTAGATGGTAAGAAAAAGTCCATAATTATGTGTTCACCTGAAAAGGTACATATTAACAAAAGAAATAAAAATAAAAACTTTTATTTGAAAATGTTATTAATGGCTTGTGTGGCACTTTTTTTTTAAATATTCGTAGTAGAGAAAATAAAAAATGAATATATCTTTAAACCTATGTGTTTGGGATGAGGGGCTATTAAAGAAATTGAAGATGAGTTTAAATTTGTATAAGGTTCGATGGAGGAAGGGGGGGTTTTATTTACCGAGTAATTTACTTCAGATATTATAAACTGTAGATTTTGAAAATTTTAGGAGAATGTGTAATTCATGCAGCACAACTTTGTAATAAGAAAGTTATGTCATGTATCATAAGTTTTTTTTTTTTTTTCATAATTTGTATCGATATAATTTTAGATTTTTTTAATTTTATAGTTGCATTATATGGTTGTTTCTAGTGAAAATTTGATCGATTTCGATTTCTTAGGTTCTCATCAAATTTCAATCACGTAGATTCTTTTCACTTATGCTAGCGACAATTTTCAATCAAAACGTGTATGAGATTCGAAAATGTCACAAAATCGAGGAATGTTATCGATGCAACTGAACATACAAATTAAAAATCGAAAGTACTCTTTTTGTTATTTTATTAAGAAACGTGAAGTAAGGAAAGCAGTAAAAGGTATTGAAAAGAAACAAAAGCAGTGCGAAATATTAGAATACCGGGAATTGTAAATGCGAAAAACTTGAAATTGCATTAATTGTAAATGACAGAATTAAAATTGCATAAAAGTAAATGACAGGACGTCGAAATTGCAAAAACGGTAAATGGCAAGCATTTGAAAATACAGAATCTTAAATTGCATGAAAGATAACTGGCAAGTAATTGAAAGTATGGAAACTTAAATTGATGAACGTAAATTGCTTGAAAATAAGTTACCAGGAAAAGTAAAGAAAGCGGTAAAAATAATCAATGAGAATGGAAATCCAGATCGCCAGAAACTTCATGATTCATCGTTCTCTAGTAGACTTTTCACTTGTGATTCTGTTGTCTCTGCCAATTTCCCCTTCTTCTTCAAGCTTCATTCTATTTATAGGCATCCTTCAATATAACCTCCTAAGAGCAGTTTAAAAAACTGTCACCACGTTCCATATGCACTATCCTCGATTTTTACCTTAGTTTACGGTTTAGAAAACCGCTTCCGCGTTCCATGTGCATTATAACTGTTTCTTGATTTCTAACCTTAGTCGCGATGTGAAAAACCACTCCTCATGTCCCATATGCATGATAACCGTTTCCCTCTATCTCGATTCCAGTTATCGAGTCCGATTTCCCTTAACCTTGACTTTACACTATACTTTATCATTACTTTCATCGATTTGTTTCTCTCTTTTCTGATTCTCGATTTATATGTTCATATTATCTCGTGGTCACCGGGTGTCTTCCGACCATCTTTCCGATTTATCAACTTTTTAACCAATCATATGATCTTCGATTTTCTCTCTTCTGTTTTTTTATCCTTGTATCGATTTTTCACTAACAAATAATGCCCCCTTGAAAGAATATAAATGTTTGTATCGATTTTTATATTCTTTCAAAAATAACTCCCGCCCTTAAACGTTCTTGAGGCTCAAAATAACTTTTTAGGGTTTAGGGTTTTTTAGGGTTTCTGGGGTTTTTTAGAGTTTTTAGGGTTTTTTCTATTTTATGTCAAATATCAAATCACATCACCTCTACTGTCACAACGCGTACTCCACGTATTAATTATCCTCTTCACATTCATCGTTTCAAATACCCTAGTCGGTCTCTTTAAATCCTCTTACAGTTTTTTACCCTTGTTTTTTACCACGAACCTCACTTACTTCTCTTTCGTTGTACCTCTTCTTCGTCTTCAAACTTTCCACCAACTGTAATGACGACTTCTAAATCCTCCGACTTCTCCACCCCACCACTTTCCTCAATAACTTCAACTTTGATAGAGATTAATGGGAAAAAGTTTGCTCCAGTCCCTTTGATGGAAGAGGCTTCGCAAAAGATTGCCGAGACTCAGGTACTTATTCCTTACGCCGCTGAAAATCTAGATTATGCGTTTGGTGGTCTCATCCGCTACTGTGGAGGGTCGTTTTCTTCTTCCCTTAGCCTTCCCTCAGAAAGTAAAGCCCCTATTCACAAATCTGAGGTCCGAATTGATTTCCTAAATGTTGTTTCAAAAGTATATCGAACGGGTCCTCCCCACAAAAAGCCTTTGTACATTAGATGGTTCGATCGAGTAAAGACTAAATTTGGGAATCACTGGAGGGATGTAGGGATCTTCGATTTTCTACATTTATCTCGATGTGATTTATCATTCTTAGATATGTCCATGTTTTTGTCTGCGGTCCATTTATGGAATAAAGATCTACATGCAATGGAGCTTCCCTGCGGTCCCCTTTCTCCCACTCTTTTTGAAGTTGCTGCAATTACCGTACTGAAACCCACAGGGGAGAAATATTTTAAGGGTGTTTTCCCCTCAGATGACTCTCTAAGATTAAAAATCGATTGGGAATCAAAAGCTTATGGACATTTCATCGAAAAGCATTTTGTCGATGATCAATCGGTAGCTATTTCTGACGAGGAGCATGTGGCTTTTCTGGTATATTGGCTCTGTACACACGTATTTTGCCCCCGATCCATCCAAATCTCGTCCCACTTCTATAATCTTGCCTATCTCCTCCATACTGGTCAGCCGAGAGTTTGTTTGGCGAAGCTTTTATTGGCCCATGTTTATACTACTTTCGATGAGGTCGTCGATATCTTGAATACCCTAAGACCCTCAGGGAATTTCTCGGGCCCCATCTGGTTTATCCAATTATGGCTTACTTCGATCTTTGAAAGCATCCTTCCCCCAACATCCAAAATTTCCCCAAGTTTAAATTTAGACGGCGCTCGATTATCATCTCGCCATTCTCACCAAAAATCCTCCGACGAGGCTAGTTATCGAGCTTACCTGAAATTTTTGTTGACCCGATTTCATTTTGAGTCAAATTTGGCCCCTTATACCGTATATAATGGAAAAATTAGTGACAGACTTCGAGGGCCAACTTGGTTTAAATAGAAATTCCCCGCTCTTACTCCAGGGTTGCAATCGAAATTAGTAGATGTGTGGAGTAATTACTTGACCCAGGATGTTCTTGTATCGGGTTTTCAATCGAAGGATATCCAGCTCGTCATCTATTATCCCCAGCTTTTTTCACGGCAGTTTGGTTTAAGTCAGACTTTACCTTTTTTCTCTCTCGATACTTCCCCAAGGTCAAAATTAAATGAATCAAATGTTGGACGGGAACTTGCCAAACTGTTACCACAAAATCCCGATGCATTTCTATCCTTATGCTTTTGAGTCGCATTATCTGTCTACTCTTGGTTTTTCTCAATGGTGGAACGATTGGTTTTCACGCATTCATTCTAATTTTGATATCGTCCAATCGAAATTGACTGCGCATCCTTCTCTCGTGTTGCAGGATAAATCGAAGGCAAAGAAAGGTACATACTCTCATTATCTCCAAATATCTTGATTCGAAAATTTTTATCGAGAATGCTACAACCCCCT